CCGGCAGCCCCCTGCTTCCAGCCTCATTCTGTTGCAGAAGGAGGAAGAAGCAGGAGGGTAAGTTGGCGTCCTCCCCCTCTGCCTGGCTGAGGCCACTCCACGTGGCCTCCGCAAGGACTCCCAGCCCCATCCAGGAGCTTCCCCGAGGTAGCTGTGTTAGTCTGTTGCTGCAAAATAGTCCAAGAGTTCACAGCACCTTTAAGAGTAACAAATAGCACCTTTAAGACTAACCTTTAAGACTAAGACTAACTGAGTGGTGGGTGTGGCCTTATGACACACTTCCGGTGATGGCAGGGGGTGTGGCATATGCTAATGAGTTATGCTAATGAGTTCCCCTAGCTCTTTTTCTACGAAACGACCCCTGCACAGCATGGTAGGTACAGTCACTTAATGGCTGCTACAGGAGGCTCAGCCAGACACAATATAGCTCCCACAGGTTACCTCCAGTCATACAGTGAAGATTCTTGTGGTGTGGTGGCAGCTGCTGCAAAAGCAACATCTGCACAGCCAATCTAATCTCCAACAGCCAATCAGAAGCATTGTTCAGAAAAAGCCTTAACTGGTCCCACCCAGTTTCTAAAAACACTTGGCGGGACCCAGAAAAAGTGTCAGTGGGCCCATGGCAGCCACAGGACCATGCTGGGGACCCTTGATCTAGAGCTAATACGAATAGTCATGAATAGTCAAAATCTGCAATATGTGTGTGTGTCCATATTTTAATGAGATTTTTAAAAATTCTTGCTGGCAATCACAGCTGTCAGATACTAAACACACTGAAGGGAGATGTTTAAATCCGTGAAAGCTTTCATTCCCCTGTTGGAATCTATGGGGCCCCAAATGTCAAATACTAAACCTTGAAATCAAATCTCTTTTAGCACAGAGAAGCAACTTAGTTTCACCTTTGTTAAGGGTTGTATAAAAAGCGATTCCCTGTTCAGAACCCAATCCTGCAACCTCCCTAAGTGGGATCCCATTAGATGGTTCTGGAGAAAGTGGGTGGAAGCATCCTTAGATAAGTTTCAGTGAGTTTGGGCCAAAGAGGCCATTTAAGGCCTTGCTGCCTTATTCTAATTTTGGAACAGTCTTTGTCTCTCTAAGCATCTTGGATACTCCTTAGGCTTTGGAGTACAAGTCATCTTTCATTTTAACTATCTGAATTTTACGCTCCTCTGCTGCTTTCGCAATTCTGTTCTCATCAGCTCTGGGGAATCTCTTCCTTGCACGCATTTCCTTACAGGGTCAAATTCTTACCTGGAGTTTTGAGCCAATAGATCCATTAAAATCCACAACATTACCCTCAGCTTACATCAGCTGAGGATCTGATTTTGCTCTTTTGAGAGGCAGATTTTTTTTGTTAATTCCTTGGACATGAGCCACAGGGCCCGTCAAGACACGATATGATTAACATTCTGCCCCTTTGCACAAGAAACAATTTCCGCCTGAGATGATCAGATGGGGACCTTTGACCTTGGCTTGTCAGCCTGTCGGAACATTTTGTAAACAAAAACAGCAGACAGGTATACTGTAAATGGTTACAGCGTACGGGTCATGTAATCTAGCATTTTTCATTTCACAGCAAAAGCTACAATGTGACTACCTTGCTGCAAATGTCAGTAAAAACACTTAGGCACTAAACAAAGTGGCCCAGAAATCTGTACAATATGCACAAGAAATCACAGACATTGTGAAATGCGACTGATATGTTGCATCTGTCCTGGTTTTCTTTTGTTTTAACCTTTTGCCTTCAAAGATATTGGTAAACATCCCAAGCAAACCAGTCATTAAGAAAGAATGCTGCTTGCTTTCCTGTTGCTTGGTTGACCCTTGGTATCTTGCCACAGTGGACGTCATCTGAAGGTTCTGTCAGCCCACTTACACATGCAAGTCGCCACTAGATGCTGCAGTTGTTGAGTGATTAACATTCATGTGTGAACTAGTCTGTTGTGTGTAGAGGGCAACTCCTATATCGCCCTTACACCAGTGTGGCCCAAAGCTAAACTATGGGCCTTCAAACCACATTTTTTACTTTATGTTTATGTTTCATGGTAGCATCATTGGCCTAACAACATGGTTCGGTTTCCCTGTAGCAGTGGCTTTCATCACCATTTTTAGTCTCTGCTCATTCCTGACTAAGGACTTGGGGACCCATGGACATTTCTAGAAACTGGTGAGGAGTGGTTGTCACCTAATGCACCTGGGTTTCACTTTTCCTGCCATTTTGTTTTTCAGCAACGATGACAGGGCAAGACAGACATCTGGAGGATTAACCTAGGGGAGGCACTTTTTGATTGCCTGGCAACTATTTCTGAATCCAGGCAGCTATTAATTGCCAACTCACCATTGACCCAGTATGACCTCGTAGAACCACAAAAGCTGGGATATTTATGGTTTTATGGTCCTTTTAATGCTTGAGTTGTATTTACTTTGCAACCCCCTCGAGAATGTTTCTCATGAAAAAGTTGGCACAAGGATGACTCAGAATCTATCAGTATAATGTAAAACCTCATATGGTGCAGCTGCAGCAATGCAAGCTGCCCTGTCCCGACTTACTGTACTGGGATAGCATTTAGCAGCACTTATACATCACAAACATGCAGTGTTGCAGTATTGGCTCTATGAACCCTTTGGATACTTCATTTTTTCCCTTGCACAGAATTGCGGTGTAACATTTTGCAGAACAGGCAAATAATCCCTCAACAACTAAGGCTTTGCTGTTGTGGCAACACAACAACACAAAGCAGGATGTTACATGGGTGTTGCATGAATGCTATGATGGCTTTGCAGGTAGATATACTCACATGTAAGTTTAAGCATCTGTCTGTCTCTCTCTTACACTACTCTCCCACCTTTCCTCCAAGGTGCTCAGGTAGACTCATATAGGTCTTCCCTCCTTTGTGAGGAAGGTTAAACTGAGACAGAGTGACTGCCCAAAGGTGCTCAGTGAGTTTTACTGGCCTGAAGATTTGAACCCGCCTGTCACAATTTGATATTATACATTATTTCTCTCAAGGCAGGTAATTCAGCTATTATTTTTAGGTATCTCAAGATCAGTGCTCTCTACTCTGACTGGCAGCAGCTCTTTGGGGTCCCAGGTAATTCCTTTCCTTTTGAAGGGAGTTTAGTGGGCAGTGCTTGTGTATGGAGCAATGCCCCCTGTAAGCTCTGGAGTCTTGTGAGCAAAGATTCTACTTGGTGAGCTACTGGCATTAAAGTGGTGAGTGAGCGATTTGGCTGCTGCATAAATTAGTTTGCTCTGGAGCCTTCCTTCCTGAGCTAAGACAAATATGTGTGAACCGGAGGCTAAAAAACTGTGAGCTAGCTCTCACTAACTCAGCTTAGAGGGAACACTGGTATGGAGGCCTGTTACCTCCCCCTTAGTACACATGCACTATGGCACCTGCATCATTACAAGAACAGGAAGGCCACTTGTACACCCCATCCTTCCACACCCCCTCTAAATAACTGACTCTTCTTTGATCTGTTTTGGCATGCGTGGTTCTTGCTGCTAAAAGGTATTTGCCCTTCTCAAAAATTATAGTATTTCAGTTAGGCAACAGAATGTTGAATTACCCTGTCCCAATTTGTCTGCAACCCTGCTGTCCCTAGATCCTTCTTAGTTTCATCACATTACTGCCACCGCCATTCTTCTCAGTTAAGTGAGCCAGCACCAGCTCTGCGTTATGTCTGCATATTTGTGTAAGTCCTTTGCCATCTGCAACACAGCACAAGTGGCAAACACTACAAAGAGGCCTCTCTTAATGGTGCCTGTAGGTAGAAGTGAACATACCAAGCTGCCTTATGCTGAGTTCGTTCACTGGTCCATCCAGTTATGTATTGTCCACTCGGATGGGCAGCCGCTCTCCAGGGTCTCAGGTAGGGTTGGCAGGTCCCTTCGTCTTGCCAACAGGGGGATCTGGGGGCATTCTGGGAGTGGGTTGGGATGTCCCCGACATGCTGATGTCACTCTGAAGTGATGTCATCACATCGGTGACATCAGAGGTGATGCTCTGGTTTTTGGGCAAAACTCTATGGTAAAATCAGGGTCAAAAATAGAGCTTTGCCCCAAAACCAGTGCGTCACCGCATGATGCCCCTGACGCAATGACATCACTTCTGGCTGGGTGACATCAGTGGGTCGTGGATGTTGCAAAGCAACATCGCTGTTTGGGGACAGCAGGCTGAACCCCCCGATTCCCCACCTGGACCTGGGGAATGGCAACCCTAGTCTCAGGCACAGAAAGGTCTTTTGTCCCTGACATCCTTTAACTGGAGGTGTTAGGGGGTTCAACCAGTGACCTTTTGCATGCAAAGTAGGTACTCTGTGGAGCCACATCCCCTTTCCTATGTTGCAGCCTAGGCTGAAAGTAGAGGTGTTGCTGCTTTGCCAGTCAGGTAAATGGGAGAACCAAGGCAGAAACAGACACATCATGGCCATTAGTTGTTGTAGATTTTCCGGGCTGTATGGCTGTGGTCTTGGCATTGTAGTTCCTGACGTTTCGCCAGCAGCTGTGTCCTGTTTGATTTAGGCTATGTTCAGCCACTGCTGATTTTTCAACTTGGCCAAAAATCCAAGACACTGAAATGCTGGACAACACATCCTGTTACCATGTCAGATTACACAGGCAAGTCATTGAAATTCATAAACATAAACACAATTTCAACAGGAAAGAAGAGAGTTCAAAAATAAATAGGGCATGGTTTCCAGTCCTGAGAAACACAAAATACTCTACATCTGACAAGAGCACTACAGATAAGATTAGAATTTCAACAGCCAATCCATATGGAAAAGAACCTCCTCAGGAAAGCTCCTCCATTAGCATGTCACAGCCTGGGAAATTCCTACAAGATCATGACTCAGCCCTACCTGACCTTCCTGAGTAAATATAAATTACCTGCCTACCATTTTTCTTCTCACATTGACACAGAGAGTACTCTGAGGATGCCAGTCACAGCTGCTGGCAATGCCCACATCATGGCCATACAGCCTGGAAAATCTACAACTACTAATGAACTCCAGCCGTGAAAGCCTTCAACAACATCACGGCCACTTTGGACAATTTGTAGAACCAAATGTTAAAGTTCTTCTTGGACTGCCTCTGTTGATGCATTGGGTGTGTAAGTGCATGTATGCATACCTGCACATAAGAAAAACAGCAGGTCAATGAGAAGGCTAGGCTGAACCCTCCTAATATTAGCTTCCTGCATGCAATATTTCCCAGGCTTCCCACTAATGTGGTATCCCTCCCTTTCTTCATACAGAACTCATGCCATTTCCCTAAGCACATGCACCCTAAACATGGCTGGTTTCCAGGGCATCCTTTGGAATTCTCAAAGGAATTCCCTTCATTCAGAGGACATGTAGGCACAAATTGATGCAAGGAGCTGAGGTGTTTCCTTAAGTAGAGTTGCTGCATGGAAGAGTAAGTACAGGTGATTAGAATAATCTTGGAAATCTGGATATACCCAGAGGGAAGGAGCCGATCAGGGTAAAAAATGACCCAGGGTATTCAAAATTTTGTATGCGTATTAAAAAATGTCCTAATCTGGATTTTGAGTTCTGAGTTTCAGATTTTGGATATGCTTCAACTTCTTGCAAAAAACAGGTTTTGGAAGCTCAGGCTGTTCCAAAACGAGATACATAATGTTAATTTCCACCCCTAATTTTTAGCGTAAAAGGTTTATCAGTCGTGTCTGCATCTTCCTCATTAGCTGCTATGTCTCTGGAAACTGGAAGAGAGGGATGATTCCGACAGATGCAGAGAGATGACGTGCTGCAGGGGGTGGATAAAATAAAGCCACAGTGATTATATTTGGTGATTAGCCAGGAGAACTTCAGAACGAGGGAGGAGGGCACTATACAAATGCACCACAACACAGGATCCATAAACAAGAACCCACTCGTTAACGAAGACCATTATTTGAGTCACCAGACAGAACATTACAGCAGATACCACAAAGGAAGGTGAGCTCCACTCACGATCAGTGCTGGAAAGGATGTGGCCGTTTCTTTTTTCCCCTTTACAAATAACAGAGTTTTCATGAGGGAATTGGAAGTCAAAGTCACACTTGTGACTGAAACACATTTTTGGGTGGCCTTTGCTTGGATGGACGGGCTGCTCAGGAAAGTGTGTTGGAATAGAAGCTCAAGCTCTCCGACACTGTCTTAGAGTCACTGCGGGAAGAGCCGTTGGATGTCAGATCTACAGAGAGACGCTTCATTTTGCTGCTTTCCTCAAGTTCTTCCTCTGGGTTGCCGATGACAGAAGAGACTGTTGTTTCCATCCGGCTGACCTTGTACATGCTGCTCTGGGTCTGGAGGTACCGGGCTGACTTCATTTCCAGCCCTTCATACTTGCTGGCATTGATGAAAGGGCACCACCGGAAAGCATGCTTGAACCCAATCCGGAACCTGGGAAGACAGACCAGAACAGCTGTGTTACAATACGGCATGTGCCCAAAGGAACATTCAGGGCACAGATTTAACTAGTATTTGATAAATACTACAATCTCACAGATCCAGGCTCTGGACTTTTATTTTGCTCTTGGGATCCTGTTTTTCCTCCCTATACATACGGGGCTCTACTTATATGTATGCTGACCAGTGTTCCCTCTAAGCTGAGTTAGTGTGAGCTAGCTCACAGTTTTTTAGCCTCCGGCTCACTCATATTCATCTTAGCTCAGGAAAGATGGCTCCAGAGCAAACTAATTTATGCAGTAGCCAAATTGCTCGCTCACAACTTTAATGCCAGTAGCTCACAAAGTAGAATCTTTGTTCTCAGGACTCCACAGCTTAGAGGGAACATTGATGCTGACTACTGGAAACCGCCCCCCCCCCAAAAAAAAGTGAGCCTAAGCAATCAGATTACTAAAAGCTGAATTGCCTGTATACCTATGAAGCATATTGGCATAATTCCTCTTAATTTTGCATGATTTATTCTCGGGGAGGGGTCTAGGAGCTACAAAGCTGTGCCCTGAATGACAAATATCTTATTCAATTATCAAATATCTTATTCAAGCTTCTAAGTTTCAACAGATAATACTGAAACCCCCCCCCCCCCAGAGCCAGAGTGTTTGTTTTTCTGTCAGAGTTCCCATGCTAGGAATTGGAGAGAAGGCAAAAATTCAGCACACACACACACACACTCACTCTCTCATTTGTGTATCTAGCTGCCATGGACTAGAAACTTGTGTTGTGCAGTTCCAATGAAAGTGCAGATTCTCAGGAATTTGCCTTCTGTGTTTCTGAGGGATTCTTGGTTCCCAGGCAGACAAGCAGTAGGAATTCTTTGTGCTGGCCAGCCATCTGCTACCTGCTTTTCCTTTCTTGTGCTTACTTACATTTTAAAAAAATAAATAAGCATTCCTAGAGAAAGACCATGGCAGTACATGCTATTGACCACCCACTGATTTCAGTGGAGTTTGAGTGGTCTAATGTGTCTGGTTCTCTAGCCTCAACTGCAACCTGTCCTGCTCCAGAAGGGAACATTAATGGGGTTCTGCAGACGTCCTTCTTTCACTCACATTTAGAACCTGTTGCTTCATATTTCAGAGTTCAGATTTTATTTTAAATTTGCAGGAATATATTTAAACACATTCAAAAGTTACCGGTCTGATTTGGCTTTCGTAATTCAAATGAGTACCATATATATATATATATATAATGACTGCAGGGTTACCAACCTCAAGGTGGAGCCTGGAGGTCTCTCAGAGTTACAACTGATCTCCAGACGACAGAGATCAGTACCCCTGGAGGAAATGGCAGCTTCGGAGACTAGACTCTATGACATCACATCCCCACTGAACTCCCTCCCCTCACCCGGTCCTCCCCAGGCATTGCCCCCCACTTCGCCAAGCCAAAGTTGGCAACCAATTTATGAAGACACCCTATGTTTTGAAACTGTTAAGTCTATTGAAGCAGTGATCCCTAAAGTGGCACCCATGGGTTCACTAGGGTTTCCAGGTCCCCTTGTCATACTGATGGGGGGATTTGGGGGGGGGTGTTCCAGGGGTGGGCGGGGATGTTGCACGGCATGCTGACGCTGGTGGTGATGCTCTGCTTTCTGGGCAAACTCTATGGTAAAAATGGCTTCAAAGTATAGGGTTTTGCCCAAAAATCAAAGTGTCACACCCCCTGACATCACCAACGTGCTGACATCACTTCCGTGTGACATCAGCACGTTGAGCATGGGATCAGGGGTGGGGGGAATTTCTTCCTGCCAGTTAGTTGGCCGGCGGTGTGCAGGAGCCTGCGAAAGTGAGGTTTTCCCCGCCCCCACCTGGGGAATGGAAACCCATGGGTTCACCAATGTATTTCCTGGCACCCACTTCCTCCTTTCCCAAAGCATCTCCTCAAGTGAAGCCACTTCTTTTCTATTGTTGCAAGCAGGGGTCATTTTGTAGAAAAAGAGGTGCAGGAGCTCATTAGCATATTGCATTAGCATAACTTATTTGCATATGCCACACCCCCTGACTTCACCAGAAGTGTGTCAGAAGGCAACACCCACTGCTCAGGCTCCACTGGACTGTTTTGGATTGCTAGCTATGGGAGGGGGACGCGCAGATCCTCATGCTCCTCGTGACCCGGGGCTGCTGGGAGCAGGGGGTGGGGCTTGTTGCATGTGCCCGCACCCTGGGCTCTTTACTGCCGGAGCTCTGCTCCTGTGCGCTCCTACAGGGAATGACCCCTGTGCAAGAGGTGCTTTGGAAGACCCCAGGAGGCATCAGTTGTGTTTGCAGGCAGCACCCATTCAGAAACAGCTGCCTCCATCACAGATTTGGCTTAGAATGTCCCAACCACAGTTGCCAGCCTCTAGACAAGGCCTGGAGATCTCCTGGAATTGCAACTGATCCCTGGACTACAGAGGTCAGTTCTCCTGTAGAAAACGACAGCTTTGGAGCGCAGATTGTATGGCATTATGACTCCTCCCCTTTCCACACCCTGTCCTTTCCCAGGCTCCATCCCCAAGTATCCAGGAATTTCCCAAGCTTGAATTGGCAACCCCAGTCCCAACACTGTATGATTGCTCCCTCCATGGCAGCTATTTTGTGACTGGTCTGGTTTCCTGTGGCTGGCATTTTGCAATGTTGCCCACTACTCAAAATTCCAAAAGTGTCTCAAGTAATTTGCCCCCCCCCCCCATGTTAAAAGATCTGAACTCATCAGGCCACAATAATAAACTTTTTTCACTTCTAACTATATTGGAAGCAAACGCTGTATCTTACCTCTCATTGAGACAACAATAAATAATTGGGTTGTACATGGTAGAGCTCATGGCCAGCCATAAGATTCCCAAGTAGATCTGCTGAATATACCTCTGCTCATACCAGTCGCTATTAATATACTGCAGGAGGAAGTAGATATGGAAGGGCAGCCAGCAGATGGCAAAGGTGCACACCACAACGATCATCATCTTCACCACCTGTTGAAGAAGGACAGCCTTGTATGGTAACAACACCCAACTGGTGTCTAGAAACAGGAACAATGAAGCCACTACATCCCTGCTCACTATAGCTAGCAAGCGCCTCACAGTGAGCATTACAGGGAAACCACAGCAGTGCTTAGAAAAATCTGTAAATCTGCAGTGACTATTTGCTTTTATAAATGCAGTATTCCCAGTGCATTTTCCATTGGTGTCTTCCTGTTTCAGCATATTGGATTGAGATAAATATGGTCCAATTTGGAAGTTGGTCAATATGACCTGGTTGGCTCCCTTTTCTTTAAGGCCCACCCCCTCCAGTCACAAGCAGCTGGTCCATTTGTTTGTGCGTGTGTTTTAGAATTTCCTTGGGTCCATTGCTGTCTCCACAGACAGCAGGAGCCTTGCCATAACATTTCCCTTGATCACTGCTGGTCACAAAGTGTTCTGGATTCTGCCTGTTCCTGCCTCCCCACCCACCACTCCATTTGAAGTGCTACCTATAGCATGGGGTGTGATGTCAGTCAGGTGCTACTCCTTCTGGACCTTGTGCCAGCCCTTGGCTCTCTGACAGGGGCAAACTGGCCATTTCAGGCACCAGGAAATTTCCTGGTGGCGTGCCCATCTGGATGCCCTTGGAGGCAGCCAAGCAGCAAGCTCAGCCAAGTCCCAGTAGTTTTGCCAGTGCCTCAGGGGCTACCTGGTTTAGACCCTTCAGTGACAGTGATGATTGGTGTCAGCTCACTGACTCCTGTCCCATTGCCAGTTTGCAGGACCCACCTCCCGTCATTGACCCTGCTGGTCAAGTGTGATTTGAGTGACCCCTGCAGTGCTGTTTTGGAGTATCTTAGGGGCTTCTTGTCTTAACTTCTGTGTCTTCCCCTCCTCTGCCACCTTCACCTTGGTCCTTGCGGCCCTTTGCTAACTTTGGGCTTTTGCTCCTTCTCATTTTCCTTGCTTGCAAGTTTCTGTTTCTTCAGAGTTCGGGGTGGGGGTGGGGGGGTCTGTTCCACATGTACTTTGCTCCCTCTAGTGGTCAAGTTGATCTTGCATTGCTCTATGTCCAGCATAAAATCTGCAGTTTAAATCTGCAGAGATATATGCTGGACGTAAACCAATGTACCATCAAGTCAGCCACTAGAGCAAGCAACACTGTGGAACAGACAGTCCCCCCCCCCAAAGCAACAGGAACTTATAAGAGAGGAAAATAAGAAGGCGAAAAAGCCCACTGTCAGTCAAAATGTGAGACTCCTGTCTCCCCGCAAGTTTCATTCTCTGCATAGTAAGCCTCTCTTCCCGAGGCTCAGGTGAAATGCCAAAAGCTTCTTTGAGCCCAGTGACCTATGGCTGACATCATTTTTGAAATGGTTTGAAATACACGGACTCTTGGGATCATGCAAGGCGGGGGCAACGTGCCTGCTGTCCTAACTTCACCAGGCAGCATAGTGTGAATGGTTTAATGGGAATAGACATAGCATCAATTGTGCATAGGCCGTATTCTTGCAGTCTCACGTTGCTGTCGTCCAAGGCAATCAGCATGGACATCTGGGCCCACACCCCACCCACCCCAATTGGAGCAACAATGCAGCAGCAAGGTTTCTAGTGTACCACCAACTGAAGCAGTTATTCAACACCCACGTCGGTGAGAACCAGCTGGGGTGCAAGGCAGAGAATCTCTGGGTATGGAACACATGGCTGCAAAACAACTAGTAGCAACAACAGAGTAAGAGAGATTCCTAGTAAAAATTGGCTGCATAAGCTAACTCTTAATTTATAGAGGTGAAATCCACCATTCCCTAGAGAAACAGTGACCTGTGAAGTAGGATTGGCTGGCTTCATGTTTCCCACTCCACACTGACCAGCACAGCTTTTTGCTGTCACTTTTCTACCTGGGTAGTAGCAGTCACTTACCTTGCGCTTGGCAGACTCCTGTTCATGGTAGCGGTCCGAAGAATCCCCTGGTATCTCACTAGCCCATAGCGTAATGCCAACCATAGTGTAGGCATAGCCTATCACTATCAGGGGTAAGACGTAGCTTAGCACAGTCACAGAGAAGTGGTACCTGGAAGGAGTGGAGGAGTGTCAAACTCTTGCTATAAACAAATGGCCAAGAGAACTGGGGCAGCTTTGGTCAACTTTGCCTTGGTTGACCTCTCTTACATCTGGCACTTCCATAGCAAAGATATGATCACAGGCATGGAGACTGCACTGGACTCAGCCCACCCACTGTGAACAACAAACATGGTTAAGAACACCCCCACCACCACCATTTTGGAAATTCCACAAGAGTGACATCTGCAGTCTTCTACACATTCTGCAGGTCCCCATTAACACAGCAACAACGTCAAGCCAAGAAGACATTTATAAGTATTAAGGTCACCTTATGAAATGCATAACAGCAGCAATTGACAACTTTTAATAGTCAGATCTCTCTTTATTGGCAAAATAATTAGAGCACTGCATCTATTGACGCAACTTTAGGTTGAAAGTGTCCGGCAGCTCAGTTTTAACAAATTGTATCCTTTCAGAAGCTGAGGTCTTGCAAGAAGCTTCATTTTGGTCACGGTACCTTAGTTTTAAAGGGCATGTTTGAGAAGCTGGTTTAGATATCTGAAGTCCTGTGTGCTTGAGGACTCAGCTGTCTCATAAGACCTACTAGTGAGGCCCTGCTTTGGGTTCCTTCCCTTAGGGAGGCCTACGTTAGGGTGGCCAGCCTCCAGGTGGGACCTGGGGATCCCCCAGAATTATAGCTCATCTCCAGACCACAAAGATTTATTTATTTATTTATTTATTTATTTAATTTGTATCCTGCCCTCCCTGCCAAGGCCGGCTCAGGGCGGCTTACAGGACACACACACACACACACACACACACACACACACACACACATACACACACACACATACATACACACACAATAAGATACGTTAAAACACAAGATTTAAGTAAAACCACAACATATAAAATCATAGGTGCTAGTAGTCGTAGGAGCTAGTAAACGATGGTGGCGTTCTCTTGGCATCCAGAGGGTCAACTGTCACCATAGTCTGAGTTCTTGCCAGGCTATTGGTTATTAAGTTGGTACTGATATTGGGCCAGGACCACAGTATTGGGAGGTGGCACCCTAATCGAAAGCCTGGTGGAAGAGCTCCATTTTACAGGCCCTGCGGAATTGTAAACGATCCCACAGGGCCCTGATGTCATCTGGGAGCTCATTCCACCAGTAAGGGGCCACCACAGAAAAGGCCCTGGCCCTCGTCACAGCTAGCCTGGCTTCTTTAGGGCCCGGGAAGGCCAAACGGTTTTGGGACCCTGATCTTAGTGCTCTCTGGGAAACATGTGGGGAAAGGTGGTCCCTTAGGTAAATAGGTCCCTGACCATATAGGGCTTTAAAGGTAAGAACCAGCACCTTGAACCGAATCCGGTATGCTATAGGCAGCCAGTGCAGTGCTTTTAGGGCAGGCTGGATGTGCTCCCGCATAGGAAGACCCAACAACAGCCTTACCGCTGCGTTCTGCACCAGCTGCAGCTTCCAGATTTGGGACAGGGGCAGCCCCATGTAGAGAGCATTACAGTGCAGATCAGTTCCTCTGGAGAAAATGGATGCTTTGGAGCATAAACTCTATGAAACTGTACCCCACTGAGGTCCCTGTTCTCCCCAGGCTCCACCCCCAAATCTCCATGAGTTTCTTAATCTGGATCAGCTTATTTTGCACCCTAGGCGAGGATCCCTTCTGGCACACGGGAGGCGCCCCTTGGGGCCCCCCCCCCCCCCGTGCGCCCACCATTTTTCAAAAATAAATGCATTTTAGGAAGAATGAAAAACACAAATAATCAAGAAACTCCCAGAGTACGGGGCTGGGTGCCGTTTGGTGCCCCTAAGGGCCAGCCCGCTCTGGCCAATCGCCTAGTTCGCCTAGTGAGTGAGCCGGCCCTGGGTGGAAATATTTGTGTTCCTTCAGGCACTTAGAGATTAGTGGTGATGCACATTGTTTGATGTAGTTATACATTTGGACTTTAATTGTTTTTCTATTTTTGGTATAGATTGTTTTTTCTTTGTGTTTTTCAGGTGATGCAAGCTGCCTTGAGAAGAGTGGTCTATTTGAAAGGCAGTTTATATAGCAAACAAATGCTAGGAATGATCTTGATATGTGCTGTCTCTTTCTCAGTACAGATCCTCAAATCCTAAAGGCCAAGCTATTACAAAATCTTAATTATGGTTTTGTGTTTTTTTTGGAGCACTTTTGTAAAAGATTTTTCTTCCTGATCAAGTTTTTCTCCTCCTAGGGAAGCTATTTCACAGACAGACAGACAGACAGACAGACAGACAGACAGACAGACAGACAGACAGACAGACAGACCTGTTTCCAAGATTTTGATCTACCGGAACATCTGTTTATGTGGCATCAGACTGAATTTAAAAATCAGGAGCTCAGAAACCTTCCCCAGTTTGGTGTCATGGTTAAGAGCAGTGGACTCTAATATGGAGAAATGGGTTTGATTCCCCACTCTTTCACATGCAGCCAGCTGGGTGACCTTGGGTCAGTCACAGTTCTGCCAGAGCTGTTGTCTCAGAGCGCTCAGCCCCACCTACTTTACAGGGTGTCTGTTGTGGGGAGAGGAAGGGAAGGAGATGCTGAGACTCCAAGTGAAGGGTGGGGTATAAATCCAACTCTTCTTCTTCTCCTACCCAATATTTTTTTATCTGGAGATTGAGCCTAGGATTGTGTGCATGCAGGCATGTGCTTTATCACTGAGATGTGCCCACTCTGGAAGTACAGTTGCCAGGTACTTCCTGGCAAACCATGGGAGAAGGTGGGACTTACCAGGAGAAACAGAAAGGCCCACACCACATTGCCAACAGCACACAGGAAGTGATATCATCATGCCAACAACTTCCAGGCAACTCTGATATTCCGACAAAAATGATATGGTAAAACTGGCTTCTGCCATACAGGGTTTGCCCAAATGCCAGTGTTGCCCAGAAGTTGCCGGCCTGATGACATCACTTCCGGCACAATGCTTGCAAAATGGCCTTGGCCTTCCCTTTTCTACTGGTAAGTCCCCCCCCCCCACAGGCAGCTGAGCAGTGGCTGGGAGGCATTGCCTGGCGGCAGGGACCCCACCTCCACCAGGGGTCTAGCACCCTATCTGGAAGTGATCTAGCCACACAGCCAGAGGTAACCAATTCTTAGAGCCATCAATTCACTTTTGAATACTATTTAAAGAAAATAGGGCAAACTTGATCTCTTTTATTAAGACTTAGTACAAAGATTCTGTTAAGACTGTGATATGTCATTGGACAGAAAGAAACCGCTATTAGGGCTCACCAGGGAACCTGTATCTGCTGATATGGTTCAGGACTGGGGCATGTGAAGTCCAAAAGGAAAAGTCCCTCTAAGCATATCTATCTTCATTCAAATTCTGTCCCTCAACCTACCCACAAAGCAGAACAAAGGCAGCAGAACACCCTCAACTGTATGGAGGACCTGTGTCATGCCCAGTACTCTTATTAAAGCCTCTGTTGGGCTCTTTCTTCACATCTTACTTTCACAAAATTGATGTGAGTTGCAGTTAATCGAGGACTACAGGGTGTTTTAATAAAATGCCATATTTACCTGTAAAGAAGGCAAACCTGAATTTAAGATTATTCCCCCTAAAAAGTTTATAAGCAAAAGGTTTGTTTATTAACGTGTATGCGAGTGTAATACCTGTAATGTATTCTTAGCTGCCATGAGTACATTAGGATGTATGGGAAACCTCCCATAGGAAAGCAATGTTAAGCTTCGTCTTGGACAGAGGATTCTAGTCCAAGACTCACGACCCAATCACATTCAAGCAAGCTGCAAGCGGGAACGTTTGTGATTGGTCCTTATGCGCTCAACCTGATAGGTTGTTATGTGTATAGTGGGAGTGGCTATGTTAGCCGGGAACGTTTAAATACCGGGCAGTTTTCAATGGGCAAACTGTTCGGGCTATCAGATGTTGTACCGTGTCGAAGAAGTGAACGAAGAGCTGAATAAAACTTGAGTCTTTACTGAAATCACTCTCCGACTCATTGTTAAGCGCCGGACTTAACAATTGGCGACGAGGATGGGATGCTAGTGCGGGTAGGCAGCCCCGCTACATCCAGACCCACGACGGACAACGAAGAGCAGCAGCTCGCCGTGGCCAGTCAGCAACGGGCACCACCAGAGCCGGTGGCAGCGATTGCAACGATGGCCAATAGCCCGAAGTTCGAGGCCTTCGAACCAGCGACCGAGGACTGGGACTCCTACCTGTCAAGGTTCGGGTTCCACCTCGAAGCCTCCGACATCACGACGGAGGAGAAGAAGCGGGCGACGCTCCTGAGCTCTTGCGGGAAGAGCATGTTCGACATCGCCCGGTCCCTGGTGGCACCAGCGGACATCTCGACCGTCTCGTACAAGGACCTGACCGAGAAGCTGCAGGCACATTTCTCCCCGAAGCCATCGGAGATTGCGTGCCGGCATGCCTTCTATAAGAGGGGTCAGGCGGCCAGCGAGTCGGTGGCGGAGTTTGTGGCTGCCCTACGAAAGGCGGCAAGGCCCTGCAACTTCGCGAATGTGGAAGAGGCCCTCCGAGACCGGCTCGTGTGCGGTATGAGGGACGACCGGCTGCAGCAGAGCCTGTTCGCTAGAAAGGAGCTGACCTGGGCAACGGCCTACGACGAGGCCATCGCCGCGGAAGCAGCCGACAAATCGACCCGAGAGGTGCGTCAGCGTTTGGCAGCGACGGAGCTGCGCGTTCACCACCAGGGGGCCGACAGTGACAGCGAGGGTAAGCTGAGTGACGTCTGCATCGTCAAAAAGAAGGCAGACCAGCGGACCCCAGTGAAGACTTCGACCAGCCCAGCCTGCGCAGGCTGTGGCGGGAAGCCCCCACGTGAGCAGTGTTGGACGAAAGACGTCCCCTGCCGTAAGTGTGGCAAAATGGGCCACATCGCTCGAGCCTGCAGAGCGACTAAGAGGTCCACGCCAGAAGCATCACCCCGGAATCAACGCTCACGAGCAGCACATCGTGAGGACGACCGTCAGACGACAT